GCAATTGTATGTTGAATTGAAGGTCTTTTCTCGTTGCATGATTTCTTGTATTTATTAGCACCTCATTCCTTGAATTGCATCCTTATCTGGATTGGGAGTCCTTGTCCCGTTTCAACTCTACCTCGAACAAACCTACTCCCACTAGGGCTTTGAACTTTCCCCTTTTCGAGGCTTTATTCTTTGCCGGCCGGGAATCCTGGTCGCTCCAGGACTTCCTCGACCCTTTTCCGTTTATCTAGACTACTTCTTAGGATAGGACTCGACCGACCCTGCCAACTGGCCCGGGACTTATTTACTCGGCCCATAGCATTTGACACACCCTTGGGCCAAGCACAACCTGCTGCTCGGCCCAACAATATTATTTTGGGCCGAAACAGATCCATATAGGCGTCACGTCATTAGTTAATGGAAAACTTAACAACCAGACTAACGGATATAAGAGATTATCCCAAAATTAACATTTTAGGTATAACTCTGGGACGAAAAAACTTCATGTACCAAATGTTGAAAATCACGAAATTTGAGAGTTGTAAACTCAAATTTACCTTTTTTTATTAATATAAGCTAATATATTTATTTGAGCTATTTAATTATTTTATTTTTTCTAATGAATTAGTTTAATAATGGAGCCATTTTAGTTATGTTTTGTTGAAGAAAAAATTGTATCAGAATTTGAAATTTTTTTAGTTGAAATGTTAGCAAAATTTTTTTTTTTAAACAACGTAATGCTAAATTAATTAACATAAGTTAACACAAACAGAAAATTTGTACCTAATCCCATGAAATTGTAAAACTCCAAATTTATGAACTCTATTCTAAGGACTCTTCCATTGCAGGCAATATTCATTTAGGCACACAAAGATTCCATCAAGGTCCTAAATCCTCAAAAGTGGTGGTTGGAGTCTCTAAATATGGACTCTCATTAGATATGCTCTTTTAGAATAATATTATCCTCATTAAATGTATGATAACCCTTTGTGCTCAACTTTTCTTGACCAATTTCATCCTTAATAAGAAATAAATACACAAAAGGGAGATTCTATGCGGTACCTTATTAGAGATAAGGTACCAATACAATTTAAGATACACTATGATGATTCAAAATTACACTCCAAGGTTACATAATTATGATAAAGTTCAAGTTAATGACAAAGAATGACGTAATTATTACCATAACAAGGTTGGTAGTTACATTGTGAACATTTATTATGTTATCTAGTAGGTTTTTGTACTTAAGCGTGATTGAGTAAAAAAAATTAACATTAATTATTATACCAGTGACATATTATTTTAGTATAGATATATGTTATTACTAGGGAACGCAATGAACTTACACAACATCGTAATCTTGGAACAACATGACGTCAACTTATAAGGTCTAAGGTAAAGTGACACCGTAATCGTTTAAATATACACTCCAAGGTTACATAAGTATCTTAACGCTACACTTAATTACACCAAATGACGTAATACCAAGGTTGCCCTTTAAGGTGTGGGCATTAGGTTACACCGTAATTGTTCAAATTACAGTCTAAGGTTACGTAATTATCTTAACTACGTTATACTTAATTACACTAAATGACGTTGTGATAGGAGCATATTTAGGCGACTTACTTAGCTTGTTTTCGTGCATCTATGTTGTTAATTCATAGTTATTTTAGTCCTTTATGCTTCTTTTGTGTGTTTTCAGGTTCTAAGGGCTTAGGGAGCAAGAAAGTGCATTTTGAGGCTATTTGGAGCATTTTTGGGCATGGATTGGATAGCTTAATCATGGAGCAAAGAGGATGGACGAAATTGAAGCCTTGTATGCTCTTTGGGGACATAAAACAAAGGGCCTAGCCCAATCAAACAAATCCTTTGAGCCATGGAAAACCTCTAGCCCAAATCCAACATTCTATGCCATGCAAACCAACCTATTTTAGGCCCATTCTATGTACTTAAACCCTAGCCCTTTAAACTAGCCCTATTATGATTTATTCACTTCCATACTCTTCTTAATTCCACATGCATTCATACACATGCACCAAAACACAACATTGCCATGCATCACATGCACCCATCACCCATTCCCTCTCCTAGCCGTGCATTCCCCCTAATTCCATCCATCATTCCACACCTTTCCAACCTAGCCACACCCTTTAATCATTCCCCCTTTAAGTTATGATTTTATTTCCTAACCCTACATGCATTATTTATTCACTCTTCATCATTGCATCCAACACCAAAAACTCTCCTTTGCCGTGGCTACCATCCATTTCCAGCACACACACATGCAATTGCACATGCACTTCCAACCTAGCATTACACCCCACATCCTTTTAATCCTTCAAACATACACAAGAAATCATTCAACACGTGCATACATAATCATTTCTGCAAGCCTAACCCGTGCATTTCTAATTGCCTTTCCACAATCCCATTCATCACACACATGCAATTACACACATCACTCAACCCTTTTTTATCCTTTGTGCCGTGTATCCCATCATAATTACTCCACCAATTCAGCCACAAGACATTATCATTGCATAAACATTCCATTTCCACCTCTTTCCAACCTAATTCACATGCATACCTATTCTTTAAATCAACACATGCATTCACATGCTTTCACAAACTAATCCACATGCATATTCATCCACCTTTCTCCCAAAACCACTCCACCTTGCCGTGCATTACTACCATCAGATTTCCAGCATTTCCATGTGCTTTCCCCTTTGTTCTAGCCACCCCACATGTCCCTTTAATCATTTAAACATGCAGCCACATATTCCACCATTTGCCGTGCAAAACATCTCCACACTTCACATGCAAAACAGCATCATTTCTCCCCCACCTTGCCGTGCAATGCACATCAACACATTCCAGCTTTTCTCCTTCTCTTTGCAGCCACAAGTCACATGCATTCACTCATAATCATTCACCAAACATGCAGCCACATTTCCACCCACCTCCTAGCTGTCATGTTCCCTCCATTACTCCTATAAATACCCTTGCATTCATTCATTCATGGAGGATCTCATTCACAACACAACACCCCTCAAACACTTCCATTCTTTCCTTAGCCGTGAGTCCCCCTTCTCTTATAATCCAAACACCAATCCTCTTCCACTTCCATCACTCCTCACTTCATTCCACACTTCCATTCCCCCAAACCAACTATCCTTAGACCTTATGCTACAAAGAAGAGGAAGAGAAGAGGGCCTAAACGTTCATACAATTCAAGTTTGAGTTGTTGGAATGTTTAGGTGTTTCTTTGATTTCAATGTTTAATTTCAATTCTCTTTGTTTTGTAAGTATGAGGAACTAAACCCCCCTTAGCTAGGGGGTGATTCAAAATATATGTTTATGCTTGCAATATGATTTGATTACTTTTAATTACGTTTCATAAGTTGTGAATTCAATTTGTTTAACTATTTGATTGATATCCTATTTATGTATGTTTATTAAGAATGAACGCTTAATTTTCATGCATGAATATGACGCTAGAATATAAGTGAGTTTCACGTAATAGTTATGAACTTATATTCACAAGTAGTGGAGGTTGCTTATAAACAATCGCGTTAAACAAATTCTTGGCATAAGTTTCATGCAATCATAGTAACGAATGCCTCGTCAACACTTATAGTTTTCATGTTGTTTAATGATTCTTGCTTGTATCTCTATTATGCAATTCATGTAGGGAACTTGTGAGGAATGCTTTGGATTGTCGTATGCAATCATCCAATCCATTAACTTAAGGAAAACTTGACGGTTAATTTAAGCGGACCTAATTAACCCGGGGCATTGAGAATTCATGGTTTATTGAAAAGCAATTAGAAATCGTTTTGTATGCAAGTATAACATGTATAGAGATGAACCCCTTAGCTAGCTTCCCATCCATTCATTTCCGTCAAATCCATATTTACAATTTGTTTTGTTTCCAAGTATCCATTTTAGTTTAAATTCGTCCAAATCCAATTCCCCCCTATTTCGTTGAAGTCTTAATCTTAATCTTTCTTATTTTTAGTTTTGCTTTCTTCGAGCATTAAATAGTGTTTTATATTGTGTTTTTACGTTTTTAAGTCAAATCCAAGTGATTAACAATCCCTCCTAATCCCCAGTCCAGAACGATCCCTACTTATACACTTCACTACAATTGATAAAAAGAGGGTTTAATTTGTGCGCGTATAATTCTCGCATCACGTTGGTATTACCATTCTAAGATTTTCTTTTACGGTGTGGACGTTAGATTACATTGTTAAGATTAAGATAATTATACCAAGGTGTTATACACTACTCTTAATAGTGTTTTTTTAACCATTTGAATACATGACACCTAGGGTTGAATAATCTCACATCAATGACACACTCTTGAGTCCTAACCATCAATTAACCAAATTTCACTACATTTTTTGGGTCGGGACTATTTTACAAATCATACTTGGCATTATATATTTCCTCATGGTGGGAAATGGATTCAGGTAAGACCTACCTGTGAAATGGTTTCGTGCATCTTATAGAGATGTGGACAGCGCGTTCAATGGATACGAGGCAGCACTCTCGGTTTACACATTTTCAAATACATATATGAACACTAATTGCACGTACTTGGGATGCTAAATATATATCACCAAGTTAAGTTCGCAGTAGTCAGAGAGGCACAGAGTACTGCAACTGTTGAGCTAACCGAGTCTCTAAGAGATCGGAGAGGGAGATGGGAGTGCCTTCCTATCTCCGTTGGTTGATCAACAAGTGTCCCAAAGTGGTTGTTAAAGCTACGGAGGACAGGGATGAGTGCGATAACTTTTATATCGACATGGATTCGAGTATCTATCTTTGCCTTCTCCCTGATGATGATAATAATGGAGTACGACCACATGTCTTTTCTCTCTTCACAAGCTGTATACAGTTCAATAATTCTTGATTAAATTTTTGTCTGTGATTTGTGTAAGCTATCACACCATCACTTAATGCCAATTTAAGTGATTAAAAAATAATTATATAGCATTGGAATGAAATAATAAGTAAATATATATGATTAAAATGTTTTAAGGTCGCAATTGAACGCAAATCCGAGGGACAATGTAAATTACCCTAAGTTGTTATTTGGAAGTAAAAAAGGGCACATTTTATATCCATCCTTTTGTACGGACAAGTATTTCCCTTAAAAGCAAACTGATGAAAATCAATTGCATCGCTGTTGCCTGAATCCCAACCTCTCATTCAGCAGATCATATTCCACATAGAAATTCTGCAGCTGAAAGCTCCCTATAATTATGGAAGGCCCGGAGGAGGAAACTTCCGGCCCACCAAGCTCCTTATCACTCATAATCGTCAAGCACACCAGATCGTCACCCGCAATCGCCATATAATTCTCCACCGGCAGCGCCACCTCAGCCCCTCCTTTGAAGTGAAACGTCACCGCCGGAAACGCCGCACTTTTGGCTCCGGAAATACTGTAACACGGCTTTAACCCGCTCACAGCCTCCACTTCCTCAGCTCTCTTGTAACCTACGGCTGCCATCTGTCTCGCAAACTCTCCCGACACGCGCTGTGACACCTCGGGCGCCATGATCGTGAACGTGGTCCCGGAATCAATGATCGTCCCACCAGAGCCTCTTGAGTCCGGCCTTAAGTACCTATACGGAATTTTCACGCGCCGCCGTCCCACCTTGATTTGGCGGAGACCCACGTAGTAGTAGACGGAGAAAGCTGGTCTGGCGGGGACTAATGGGTTGCTTACAAACGGCGTGTAGATAACACCGGTAGTTTTCTTGGCCCATTTTTCTCCAGCGTCGAGAACCAGGAGGCTGCTTTTGTTAGTGTCATCGAAAAGCCGGGACAGAAGGCAGTAGGAGAACTTTTTGAACCCCAATTGAGCGGGGAGAGAAGCAGGGCCTCGGCCCAATCCGGCAATGCCCGCTGGGGGTTGGTGGGTAGAGCTAACGGAGCAGCCGACGAGGAAATCGGGTACGGATCGGGTGGGTAGGTCGAGGGTCTCAGAGAGCGGGACTCCAGTTGTTTCCCCTAAGCCGTAGACGAAGGTGTAGGCAGGGCACATCTGGGTGCAGTTTTTGGAATTTGGCCGGCAAGCTTGGCAGTGAAAGCGGGGGGATTTGTTGTGAAACAAAGCGCATTTAGAATCGGAGCAGCCGAGGATTTTGGAGGATGAGGACAATTTGGGAATAAAAGGTTTGAGATAAGAGGGGCAGTTGACGCATTGGTAGTTTTTGGTGCAAGGGAACCAAGTGAAGTGGCTGCCGGTGTCCATGATGAAAGAAAGGGTTTGGGGAGGGGTACCAAAGCTGAGGGGTATGGAGTAGCCGCCGTAGCTTTGGGAGAAGACCGGGGTGGTGGTACGGTGGGTGGTTGTGGTTTGGGGGTTTTTGAGGTGGTGGGCTCTTTTTAGAGATGAGGTTGCTAAGTTGTTGAGGTGGTGGGATGGATGAAGATGTGGATGTGGATGCGGGTTTCTGTGGAAATGTGAGAGTGGAATGGTGGTAATATTGGAAGAAATGGAAGGTAGAAGGAGAAGTAGGGAGAGCAGAAACAGGAAGATATAGGAAGCCATGAATGTGTGTCTCAGAGATTTAGTTTAGAGAGAGAGAGAGAGAGGAGGCTTTAACGTTGTTTTGCAAGGACAGAAAGTATCGATGTCGGTTAGGTTTTGATACAACGCAAACAGGTGGCTCTTTGCATGTGTATAAGCATGCAAAGGAAGGCTTACATGTCCAACCCAATGGGCCAAGGGGACAGAGGGACGAAGGCATAGGATAAGATTTTGATGGTTTTACATGCAAAACAACGTTACTTGTAGAATGCAGCATTATAATATGTCTTCGGGTTGAGGTGTTGGAAATACAATTATGCAGCAGCTCCCATGTGACCAACAGATTCCTCTTCTCATTTAGGAGGACACACATGCGCAACATGTTTACTGCTACCGTGACATTCCGGTTCAATAATATAATGTTAGAATCCAACCTATTTTACGTAGGTTACTCTTTGCATTTGGACGTAAAAAAATACTTCAAGTTCCTGATTCTCTGTTAACCAAGTCCACAAATGCTCAATGATACAGATTAGCAAGATGATCACTAATTACCCAATAACTATACGCCCTTCTATTTCTAATTATTCGATCAAGATTATCTCTAATACCAAACTACTTACACCATAAAACTACAGCAAATGGCCCAGTTGTAAGAGTGCGGACTATGACTCCCCAATAAACAAAAAAATGTGAGCGGTTCTCGGTTTGATGCTCCAAGCTGGTGCTGACTATGGCCATTGGCACAGTGAAATTCTCCATAGCCTCTCGGATCCGGAATGGATGAATAACGGTGACTTGCCACCCATTGTTAAAAAAAATAAAAATAAAAATCAAATCTAACAAGAGTAAATTGTAACAATGGTCCTTCAACTTTAATTAAATTGGAGCAATAGTTTTTTAACTAAAAATTCATAACTATTAGTCCTTCAACTCATCAAAAACGTGTAACTATGGTCTTTTTCATCAATTTCGTTAGAATTTTGTCAAAATAAGTTATGTTGGAATGATCATTGCGACAATTGAGAGGGACCATTGATAATAGATTTTCAGTTGAGGAACCATTGATAATATATTTTAGTTAAGGGACCATTGTTTCAATTGAGTTAAAATTAAGAGATCATTATCTCACCATCAAAATCATAGTAAACAAACAAAATAAAAGTTTGAAAAATAAAATACCTTAAATCTCTCCAACTTCTACACATCTTTATAGAGAACTGGTATTTGGATATTCGCTCCGGCGGCAGGGGGCAATTCACGATCATCTTCCCCTTCATCGCTCCTCTGAAAATCGCCTCCACAACATCAATAAAGTTCTGTTTCTGCTGAAACGCGCCGACCCATTTGCTGTGGCCCGCAGTTCCCGAATCCATCTTTTTGTGGAGGGCATTGAAGACGAAGATGGTCGACGGGATCAGAGCAATGTCGAAACACCTGACGTAGACTTGAATTCCCGCCGAATCAGTATCGACGAGCGCGACCGTCGCGAACTTGGAGATCTCCCGCGCCGTTTTGGCGAGAGCGTCGTCGAGGAGAAGGCAAGCGGAATCGATGGTGGATCGGATGATGGAATCCACCTCCTGCTTCTTCGTCAGTGTCGTCAATACGTAACTCATGACTCTCTCTCTCTCTCTCTGTTCTTCTTCCTCACCTGAATTCTGAATTCCTCTAGAAGGACGATGGGAGCGGCAGATTCAAACCCAATCAGGAAATCCCACAACTGAAAATTGAAATCAGTGAGGATGATTAAAATTTAGAAAACAGAACACAGGAATATTGGTGTAGTCAAATTTCGATCCAAATCACATTTGGTGATCCCGATTTCAATTTTGTAAATGGGGATTCTGAACTTGTAACCATGTTCGATATTACCACTTGAATTTTTAAATTTTTCCTTTTTACCACCCAGACTCTTTTAATCGTTGAAATTTATCACTTACGTAACTTTCATTTATTTCACTGTTAAAACATGGCATTTATAGCGATATTTTCATCAATTATCATAAGACTAGCTATAATCAAATCCGCTTCAAAATAATATTGCCTGGGTCAATATCGCACCACAGCTGTGGGTTTGTAGAACCTCAATTTAATAATTCCCATCACAAGCGTTTGAAAATTTAATGGAAATTTTTATCTGAACCCATAAAATTACTTTGTACACCCAACTTAAGTTTCAAAATCGAATTATCTTTTTTATCCTGTTACATAATTACAATCAAGTACAAGATGAAATTAACTATAAAATTAAAATTTATCACTAAACACACTCAATAATGAAACCCTATCATCACATCAAACCTTACTGTCACGCAATCTTTATCTTCATTCTAGCTAAAATTCGAAGATGCTTTCATAGAGAAAAACATACTCTTCTTGATCGAAGGATAGTGATTTTGAAATTTTGAATCCTTCAATTATGAATCAATTTATGCAATTTTTTTCTTTTGATTTCCATTTTTTTGATACTTCGGAACAAAATTAGCACATTCACCATGACGCACGCTCAGAAAATAAATCTAAGTTAAAGTCGGTAATAAAATAAATGTTCAATTTATAGCCTAGACTACAGATGTAATTTTATTGGCCTTTTGGCTGACAACTGTAGATTAGAATGTACTTGTTTATGCGAAAGCAGTGACTTTCTGATAAAAATACAGTCTCGTATGGAGAGCACACAACAAACTATCTTTATGCTTTCTAAACTGCACGTTGCCTATTTTGTATGACTTAACCATTGATTCATTGAATATAATTTATAAGCTGTAACTAATTAAGCTTGAACTTGGAAAATGTAGAGCAAGGATCGAACATTAGTATTGAGATGATACAATTTTTTAAACTTGACTCAATTGTATATCAGAGTGACTAGTATTGCATCATATTCAGTATCCACCAGATCCTTGCCTTTGTATGAAGCAAAAAAAAAAAAGATTAAGCACGAGACAAATGTGAGAGATATTGCTTTCTTTAAGCCTTGAATGAGTTGTATAACATTGATTTTGGGTTTTTTTTTTTTTGAATGGGTGCAAAGATAAATTTTCTAAATTGAATTGAGTTTGTGAGGGTAATTTAGGTAGTGAGTTTGGGTTTAAAGAGATATTGATAGTTTAATTAAAAATAATATGGATGTAGAGAGTAAGTTGGATGTAAAAAAAGATTATATGAGTTCAAATAAAATTTTCCAAACTTAATATGTACATAAATTAATATGAACAACACACTCACTTACTGACCTACTAAAAAAAATCATAAAAACTCACTGTAAATATAATACTAGATTTTTGCATAAGTTCTACTCATGGTATTTGTCATTCCATAAAGCTTAAACATAAAACACACAAATTTCTATGCAAATATGTACTCATTATCTTGTGTCCCTCTTCACTTAATGCCAATATAGATCCCAACATTCAATTTTCACTTTAATTTTTCAACAACTCATGGCAAAATCAAACCCGAAATCAATTTCTTCCTTTGCCTTCATAACCTTACCCTAACACCGCTACAGGAAAAAAAAAAATCTTTTACCTTCGTACAAATTGATTCCAGCGAGCCCTAAGAAGTGAATTTACTTTCAGGAAAAATAGATCGAAAGTAACGTAGGTAGTAAATTCCAACAATTAAGAGAATCTAAGTGGTAAAAGTTAAAAGGGGTTTTTGAACTTTAATCCTTAAAGAAGATTAAAATTTAATAAAAACCTGATGTTAGATTACATATTGATTTTAGTCCTTGAATGTGTACGTAATTCAAATTTCTGTTATAATTTTGTTTTAATATTTAATGGAATCTTTTAATGTCTCCATATCAAATTTTAAATTTATTATTATGCACATTTAATTCATTAAGTTTGTTTAACTTCCTCTAATTAGTATACCTAAATGTCCCATAATATATTTTACTAAACTAGTGTACTGAAATGTCCGTACCTAAATTATCATATTAAATTAGTGACACATAAGAAAATATACAAAAATATAAGTGTACTGAAAAGTCTGTAACTAACATATTATACTAAATTTGTGTACCGAAATGTCCATATCTAAATATATTATACTAAACTAGTGTATCAAAATGTCTGTACCTAAGTATATGAAAAATTAGGTTCTCATCCCTATTTTTCCTACTTCATTGATTAAAACTTCGTTCGTTTTCAATTTTTGATCAAGGTCTTTAGATTTTAATAAACGTTAATTATTTCAACGATAAAATATTTTTTTTATTTCTAATCATATTTATTTAGTGTTAGAAACATTACATTTGGTATATTTATACTTATGACTAAATTTGTTATCATATATTTTTATTTTTAGTTTGTACCCATTTTGTCACATCCCAGACCGGCTCTGCCATAGCACGATATTGTCCGCTTTGGGCCCTGGCCACGCCCTCACAATTTTGTTTCTGGGAACTCACATGAGAACTTCCCTAGTACTTGGTAGTAAAACTCACATCACATGTGAAATGGGTTTAATCCTGCTCACCCACGCACTCTTTTGATTAGACATTTTTAGGTTTAAATTTATTCACATCCTTTTCCCACTGCACTACACTACATTTTAGGGCTTCATCACCCTACAGGTGTCGGCCAGTACAAACATCCCACATCGACCAACGGAGAGGGGGTGATGCGCCTTATATGTACATGCCCACCTCCATATAGCATGAGGCATTTTGGGAACTCACTAGTTTCGAGTTTCGTCGAAACTCTGAAGCTAAGCCAGTTCGGGCGAGAGCATTCCCAGGATGGGTGACCCACTGGGAAGTTCTTGTGTGAGTTCCCAGAAACAAAACCTTGAGGGCGTGGCCGGGGTCTAAAGCAGATAATATCCTGTTACGACAAAGTTGAGACTGGGATGTGACAGAATGGTATTAAAGCCACTCTGCCGTGTGGTGTGAGTGTGCTGACGAGGTCGTCGGGTCCCTAAGAAGGATGGATTGTAACATTCCACATCGACCAACGGAGAGGGGGTGATGTGCCTTATATATGCACATGCCCACCTCCATATAGCACGAGGCCTTTTGGCAACTCACTAGCTTCGATTCCGTGGGAACTCCGAAGTTAAGCGAGTTCGGACGAGAACGGTTATAGGATGGGTGACCTACTGAGAAGTTCTCGTGCCGAGTTCCCAAAAACAAAACCATGCAGGCTGGGCCCAAAGCGGACAATATCGTGCAATGGCGGAGTTGGTCTGGGATGTGACAGCGCCGTAGCACAATATTGTCCACTTTGGCTATAGGGAAGGGAGCATGTACATATAAGGCACATCACCCTCTCTTCATTGGTCCATGTGGGATGTTACACATTTTTAGTTTGCAACTTTTTTTTTTAATTTGTACCAATTTTCTTTTTAGTTTTAATTGTACCCATATATTAATTCATTTTTGTGCCCATATTTTAAACTTTTATTTGTACTTGTACCTAATTTTTAATTTATTTGTACCCATTTTTAATTTTGATAAATGTACCATGCTAATTATATGTATTTATTTTATGTTTTAAAATATATCAATAGTTATTTTTTAAAAGGGTTTTTATCACAAATGCCTGAAATTGAAAATCAATCAATGTGGTTCCTGAAAATAGGTGTCGCAAATCAATGTGGTCCTTCCGTCACAATTCTGTTAAAAATTTCGTTAAGTGCTAATGTGGCATATAAATGGGCCCCACAAGATTTACGGATTTTTATCATAAATGGTCCCTGAAATTGACTCACACCATCAAGACGATCCCTGAAATTGACCCACACCATCAAAATGGTCCCTAAAATTGAAAATCGACGAATGCAGTCCTTGAAAATAGGTGTCCCAAATCAATATGATCCTTCCACTACAATTTTATATATAAAAAAAAAAATTATGTGCTTATGTGGGTTTAATAATTAATTAAAAAAATTGTCTAAATACCTTTTTGCACAATAGAATTTTTTTTCTTATAGTAGCACCTACTCCGAAGAGAGATCCCTTCCATAAATTCTCAAAGGCACAAGGCTTAACCAAGGCCTAAGAGGGGGTTTGGAAATGGTTTTCAACCAACAATAGACGCACCTCGATTATAATCTCATTATCTCATGGCATACCTCGCCGTTCTTTGAGTCACCAGACCATGAAAGTGCCAAACAAGCTATCCAAGATTAAGGTTGTGAGGATGTTAATCACGTAAATGTTAACGATGATGTCCTATGACACACCCTGAGCAGAGTTGAGGCATGTTGGCTGACACCTGAAGGTGACGTAACCAAAAAGGAAAGTGAAGCATAAAAGTATGGATAGATTTAAACTGAAACTAACATGTATTTAATCTAAAGTAGAGAGTGCGCAGTGGTGGGAAGAACCCATAAAAACACAACTGTTCAGAGCATAGATGACAGTTTGACATAAGTAGTGCAGTTGAAACTAGTTAGAGTACTTATTACACAACCGGGAAAAAGTTTCTACATTTATTTAGGGATAAGTCAGAACCACTAGAAATTCCTCGTATGCCACAAAGAATTTAGCTATCTAAGTCCTGAAGGGGCAAAAAATAGAAGGGTGAGTGGGCAAAAACAAAGGTTTATAAACACATTTATTTTCTGAACATACTAACCCGTTGTCGTAAAACATGTATAGTTTCCAGACAATCATACTATGTATAAGTATGAAATCAAATGTAAATAAAAAATAAATCCAGAAATACGCTAATCATAATATCTCAATCGTAGCATAAGTAAAATCAGGTGCTCATCAACTTATGCTAACACACGAGCGCATGTAGATAAGTTTAGTCATGAACAGGACTAGGTGTAATCATAATATACGCTCTAGTATTACAATCATGTGAAGACTGGCGCTAGGCGCATCACATACGAGTCGGAGTTG